AGGGAGCGGTGCAGGATACAGATTCTGGCTGCCCTCTGGGATCAGGAGGCGATCTCCACTCAGCTGGGCAAGCAGAAAGGCAGCAGGGAGGTCAAAGAAATCATAGGGCAGGAAGGGACCTCCAGAGGTCATCTAGTCCGACCCCTGCCCGAGGCAGGATCAGCCCTGTCCAAATCATCCCATGCAATCCATAATCTAAACTCTACAATAAAGACTCCCATCAGCCCTGACGCAACTAAGAGGAATCAAGATGCGCTTTCATGGAAGGAGCTGGCTTTTGCAGTCCAGAGTCTGGAAGGACTGTCAGCACCAGTAGCATTATCGCCGGGAGAGAGAAAAACCCAGCCACCCAGGGACTAGCTTACTCAAAAGTTGCTGCTTATTGTGAAAATGCCAGGGCCACTTTGCCTCCCATTCTGCATGTTCTAGACCCATCTCGTGGTTGTGTTTTTCAGTACATCGGCAGCTTGGACGTGCCGAGGCCCAACAGCCGCGTGGAGATCGTTGCAGCCATGAGAAGGATTCGGGTGAGTCTGACAGCACTGGTCCCCATTGCAATGGGAGGCTGCATTACATGTGTGTGTAGAAGGAGCCATTTTGTGCCTCCAGGCCCCTCTGGTTCTGGCTCCTGCAATTTGCTGCTTTCTAGCCAAGCTCCAGATACCCTGCTTCAAGCCCTCTCCTTTCGGAGGCAGAGCTGGGGAGACCAGTCCTTTCTCCTTTACCTTCTTCAAGATGTTGGTTTCTCTCCGAGTACAACCACCCGTCCCCACTCCACCTCCCAGCTTTCAGTTCTTAGTACTGGGAATGACTAGTACGAGTGCATTTTCACCCCTGGTTGTGTAGCAGGGCTGGGGGAAGGGTCCTGGCGTGATTATTAGCATTGTAGCTTAAACTAGCTTTGATTTCTCAAGTGCAGCTTTGTTCCATCAGAGCCTCACCCCGGAGGCCAGGCTGAGGTCTGTTGTTTTCTAACCCAGCTGAAATCCTGCGGGTCTTAATTCTGAGCCTGTTCATGAAGTGTCTCCAACATCAGCCAAAGCAGATTTTGGAGTCCTGAATTCAAAGCCTTCAGAAGGGATTACCCTCATTTTCCTCAGTGTTTACACATCTAATTTCATGGAGAAGGGTGCTTTTTTTAAAACTTTGCCTGTAACCAGCTGGAGAGCCGGTGTATTCATCTCCAGCTACGCGCAGAAATAAATTTCTCCAGCCCCCGCCTGCCCAGAGACTACTAGCTTAGACCCTGCTCAAAGGACGTAGTGCAGAAGCAGTCTCAATGGTCCAACTATCCTAAAAGGTGGAAGTGAATAGCCAAGAGGCGGTGGATGATGGTTGCTGGGGTAGCTAAGATGCTGTGATGATCATTAGTGTATTTTTAACTGCATTGCATTTTTGGCTCATCAGCCTCAAAATAGCTTTGCTAGAGAGGCTCTTTTCTGGGCCTCAAGTGGATAACACTCTTAAGCAAAAGATAAAAGGTGTTTAATAGCAATTCCTCGCAACTGTTGACAATGGCTGCTTCAGCACTGCTGCTGGGATGATGAATGACTTGATCTCTAGCCCCAAATCTTGGCAGTGCAGGAATGGGCTAGGGCTGTATGCGGACCATGCAGCACCCGCAAAACCAGGAGGGGCTGGTTATCCATTAATCTTATCTCACACTACTTTACATCAGGCCTCCTGAGTCTTTCTTTAAAGGGCATGGCATGCCTTTCCGTATCATATGCATTGTGCTGCTGGGTCTCATTCAGACACTTCCTGGCTGTGTTGAACAGAAGATGCTACCGTCTCAAAACCAGTTCATTGGCAATAAAACCTAGGTCATAAAGGATGAAGTAGGAGATCTTTGTCGAGGCAGGCAGGCAGGGCACAGGATGTGGGCAATGTAGTGCTAGTCTGCACGCAGAGGCCCTGCCTGCGCTAGACTTCTTGTCTTAAACTCAGAGCTGGCCAAGCTACAAACAGGGGGAAAAACCCAGGGCACAGGCCACTGATACCACTAGGCTTTTATTACTGCCTTCAGCCAGTCACCACCACTGCAGCGCCCAGCAAACTGGGTGGCATAAAGAAGCTTGTGCTGTGTGACCTCTTCCATCCAGTCTTTGGGGCGGTCACCAGGATTATGGGCGAGCCTGCTCTCCTGGATGCCTGCCCACTGGATCAGAGGAGAGGCCATGCTGACTTTGCTGCCACAACCCTGCATTAGACAGACTCCGTCCCAGTGCCCGGAGCCAACCCGCTCCACCCCAGCTGGTTTTCTAGGCTGTGGCAGAGCTGGTTGCTCCAGTCCTTTGTTGCTCAGAGGAAGCAATAAGTGCAGGTTCAGAGCTCACTCCCATGTCTAATCCCGTGTCTTCAGTAGGTGGCTAAATACATGCTGTCACCATGTGGGGAAAAAAAAACATCCGGCCGCTCACTCCCAAGCATTTCCCCCACACTCCTCCCTTTAAATTAGAACGGGGAGCAAATGAAGGACACAGCCACTTGCACAGCCTGTTGCCCGGTCTGTTCCTTCCCAGCTTCACGGGATTCGCACCCTGCTCCTGTGGCAGACAGAAGTGCCAGGGCACAGGGGCACCCTCCCAGCTCAACGGGCCGCCTGCTTCCAGGAACCAGGTCCCAAAGCCATCAATTCTTGCATCCTGGGAGCATTGCTGTTACAGCGACCGGCTGTTCTGCGGAGGGGGAGCTTGAGGACACATTGCAAAATAACCAAAAAGAGATCCTGCTTCCATCCTACAAATTCTTGCAGCGCAATTCAGCAAAGCCACTTGTGCATGTTCAGTCAGAGCCCACGGGCAACGCAAGCTGGAAACCCTTGTTGCTGATCACGCTCCCTTCAGCGAAAGGGAAAAGAGTGCAAATACAATGGATAGAGCAGGGGAAACCGATGCTCTCTGCAAGTCCCCCATTATGCAGAGCTACACATGCATCCGAATCTGCTAGTCCTCTCTGTGGATTATTTGCTGCATGCAGTTGCCATGTCGTTATCTGAGCCTCCGAGTTCCCAGCGGTCCCCTGCTCCCTTCCCCCCTGGCAAGAGGGGTGATGAAATGGGGTTAGCATCAGAACAGCAAGACCTGAAAGATGGTGCCGACAGGCTGCTGTGGTTCCAGCTACGGCTTATCCATGGAGTCCAGTCCACAGCACGGCTCAGACGGCCTGCTCGGGAAGGTGCGCTTCTGCTAATGGCTGCGCAGGAAACCTGGATTCCAGAGGACGGATGTCACAGTCGCTGCACAATTTCTCCTCTCTTGCCTGAGGTGATCCAGGGCTAAGCGTCTGGGAACGCTTGCGCTCTAGCCCTTTCTGCATGCCAGGGCAGCGATGCCCTTCGAGAGCTGGCCCTTGGATGCAGAGCGGGTTCATCTGCATAGAAATGGCATCACGCAGCCCTCCCTGCAGTTGCAGGCCCTTTGTTTCTTTCTGAGAGAGCACACGAGGCATAGGGAGATCCCTTCGCACGAGCCAGGGTAAGTCAGAGGTGCAGCAAGTCTCTGGGGAGGGGTGTTGGGTCATCTCTGCTCCCCGATGCTTTCAAGGGAGTAGCTAGTGGGCAGGATTCTGCCCTTTGCACACAGGGCTGTGCGGGTCCCAGGCCAAGGGAGGAGAGCAAACACTAGTCACGAAGCAGCTTCTCCAAGCAGGTGCAGGCTTGGAGCTGGGAAGAGGCTGGACTGCACCGGTAGGCACTCAAAGACCTGGGAGGTGCAAAACCCTTCCTTCCCAAACGCGGGTGGTAGCACCTCCGGTGCCTCTGCAGGCAGTGCTGTGGCCAGGCAGGCGTGGCTGGTCCCCAGGCCGCCTGCTCCCTTCCAAGGGGGACGGGATGGAAGATGGAGCCATGTGGGCTCCATTTGGGGCAGAAGTAGGGGCTCAGCTGGCACAGCCCAGACTTCAGCTGTGCAGGAGGCACGATCCCCGCACAAAACGGAGGCACTCGGAGCAACAAACTCTCCCAGCCGTGAGCAGCACATCCACCATGGTCTCCTGCCGAACAGGCCATGGAGAGCGGATCAAAGACACCTTGCCCCGAGGAGGACCCATCACACCCCCACTGCCCAGGCTGCTTGCCAAGAGCTCTCCAGGCTCTGCTGTTTCTCTCTCAGGGCACTCAGCTTTGTTTGGGATTTAAAAACCCGTGGTCCCACAGACCTCGAGCCCGAGTCACAGACTTCTGTGACATTTCAGCACTCTTAAAGCTGTGCTGTCGAGTTCAGCCAGGGCTGTTTTGCCACTCCTGCTTACAAGAGCAGCGACTTGCTGACTTCCTTCCCACGTTTCTCCTCCTGTCGCCTTTTAACAAACCCAGTTTCTCAAGTCTGGCTGCTCTCCCCTCAGCGAGACGAAGGCTAAGCATTGGAGAACTGCACTGACCCAGCCATAGCACCGGCACTAATCCGGCTAATGCAGGCGAGAGGTCTGCTGGTTTCTGAGAAAGTGTCTGGCTGGGTAGTTTAGCATTTGATGCTACGTGCTCCTGACAGGCAGCCAGCTTTGGTTTAAGGCAGCGCTAGTGGGTTACATGGACTTGGAAGACTTGCCGAGCATCTAGGTGCTGTGGCGGGTGCAGAGATCCCACCTCAGGAACACA